TAAAAAAAAACATGTAACCCAAGATATCTCACATTCTTGGTTCTTTCGGTAAAGTCACGTAGATACGTAATCCCATCACTGTGGGAGTCAGTAGCGAGGGGTTGCTGGATCGCCGCACTCACAGACGTTGTCGTGAAGCCCGCTTCCCGTGGGCGTCAAGGAGGAGGAGGTGTCACGTAGATACGTGACTTTACACGTAGATACGGGACTTTACGTGACTTTACACGTAGATACGTGACTTTACGTGACTTTACACGTAGATACGTGACTTTACGTAACTTAACACGTAGATACGTGACTTTACGTGACTTTACACGTAGATACGTGACTTTACGTAACTTAACACGTAGATACGTGACTTTACGTGACTTTACACGTAGATACGTGACTTTACACGTAGATACGTGACTTTACGTAACTTTACACGTAGATACGTGACTTTACGTAATTTTACACGTAGATACGTGACTTTACGTAACTTAACACGTAGATACGTGACTTTACGTGACTTTACACGTAGATACGTGACTTTACGTAACGTTACACGTAGATACGTGACTTTACGTGACTTTACACGTAGATACGTGACTTTACGTGACTTTACACGTAGATACGTGACTTTACGTGACTTTACACGTAGATACGTGACTTTACGTAATTTTACACGTAGATACGTGACTTTACGTAACTTTACACGTAGATACGTGACTTTACGTGACTTTACACGTAGATACGTGACTTTACGTGACTTTACACGTAGATACGTGACTTTACGTAACTTTACACGTAGATACGTGACTTTACGTAACTTTACACGTAGATACGTGACTTTACGTAACTTTACACGTAGATACGTGACTTTACGTGACTTTACACGTAGATACGGGACTTTACGTGACTTTACACGTAGATACGTGACTTTACGTAACTTAACACGTAGATACGTGACTTTACGTGACTTTACACGTAGATACGTGACTTTACGTAACTTAACACGTAGATACGTGACTTTACGTGACTTTACACGTAGATACGTGACTTTACACGTAGATACGTGACTTTACGTAACTTTACACGTAGATACGTGACTTTACGTAATTTTACACGTAGATACGTGACTTTACGTAACTTTACACGTAGATACGTGACTTTACGTGACTTTACACGTAGATACGTGACTTTACGTGACTTTACACGTAGATACGTAACTTTACGTGACTTTACACGTAGATACGTGACTTTACGTAACTTTACACGTAGATACGTGACTTTACGTGACTTTACACGTAGATACGTGACTTTACGTAACTTAACACGTAGATACGTGACTTTACGTGACTTTACACGTAGATACGTGACTTTACGTAATGTTACACGTAGATACGTGACTTTACGTGACTTTACACGTAGATACGTGACTTTACGTGACTTTACACGTAGATACGTGACTTTACGTGACTTTACACGTAGATACGTGACTTTACGTAATTTTACACGTAGATACGTGACTTTACGTAACTTTACACGTAGATACGTGACTTTACGTGACTTTACACGTAGATACGTGACTTTACGTGACTTTACACGTAGATACGTGACTTTACGTAACTTTACACGTAGATACGTGACTTTACGTAACTTTACACGTAGATACGTGACTTTACGTAACTTTACACGTAGATACGTAACTTTACGTGACTTTACACGTAGCTACGTGACTTTACGTGACTTTACACGTAGATACGTGACTTTACGTGACTTTACACGTAGATACGTGACTTTACGTGACTTTACACGTAGATACGTGACTTTTCGTGACTTTACACGTAGATACGTGACTTTACGTGACTTTACACGTAGATACGTGACTTTACGTAACTTTCCACGTAGATACGTGACTTTTCGTGACTTTACACCTAGATACGTGACTTTACCGAAAGCACCAAGAATATGAATTCCTGCAGTCACGAAAGTTTTAAGCCACACGATATCTTCTTGAATAAATATATTTATACTCTTTGGTTCTTTCGGTAAAGTCACGTAGGTATAAAATACCGAAAGCGCCAAGAGTATGGATTACTGCAGTCACGAAAGCTTCAAATCAAAATATATTCACATAGGAAAGGATAGGCCCAGTGAATGTAGAAAGATGCAGAGTTATGTAGATCGTTTTTTGTGTGTGCGCAAGGTGAGAGAGAAATGAACACCGGAGATTAACTTTTCGAGATTTGTTTTTTGTAATGCTAAAATTGGCGAATAAACATCGTCAAGTGGTGTGCTTTTCTCACAATCTCTTTTTCAGAAGCGACCTGGCTATTAAATGATAACTCGACGAAGTAGCTTATCACGTGGGAATGTATAAGCGGCCAAATAACTCGAAGACGCGTGATGATGTTTATTACAAATGTGGAGGGGGAAAAAAACGGAAGACACGGAGAAAAATCCACGCGACCACGGGGAGAGAGAGACACCGCAAACTCCAAATATACAGCAGCAGCAGGCGTCAGAGTCTGGATCAAACCCACGACTTCCTGTGTACCAAGCGAGGTAGTTAACATCTCATAGCCACCGTGGCGCCCCAGTGTTGTTGTTGTTGACGAATGTGATCAGTTGTTGTGGCTGTTGACTTTGCTTGTGCACCACTGCCAACGCAGCAGCAGCAGCTGCAGGAGTGGCAGCATCACCAGATGCATCGAGCGCCGTTAATGATCTACCTATCACGTTCATTAATATGACTCTCTCCTTTATCGTGAGTTACCGTGCCTATTGTAGAAATACTATGACTTTGCACGACATGCATCGGCTTGCAAATAATAACCACGGCCATAATAGAGGGTTTTTTGGGGTTAAATCGCGTAAATATAAATGTGTCGTTAAACCCGCCACCACCCGACACAGCCAACTAGTAAGGTTTGTCACGTAAACAGAACGTGCCAATTAGTTACTAGTACAGCACACCGGTGTGTTGGAGAGTAAATCCACAACATTCACAATTCGAGTACGACGTTTTGCCAATAATTACAACCGGCAGCCTGAATAACCACGGCGCACGCGGCTGCCCGTTATCCCATCACTGTGGGAGTCAGTAGCGAGGGGTTGGTAGATCACCGCACTCACAGACGTGGTCGTGAAACCCGCTTCCCGTGGGCGTCAAGGAGAAGGAGCCATACCCTGGCTGGACAGTAGAGGGCGGTACAGCACTTTTGAAAGACGTCAACAGGGATTGTCCGTTGAAGTAGACTCGAACCCGCCATAGAAATGCGGAATTTCCACGTATGCAGGGCTATAAACTGGAAATTGAGCACCAAATGCCTTAATGTTGACCTGAGCCGGACATAACTTTGACTGCAACAACCAAAAAGGACGATAACAAGATTACAATTCGTGTTGTTCTTCTGGAGGAAATATAACAACAAAGGTTACGCATACTACGAATCCTCCACGTGTCTGCCTCTCCAAAAACATATCGAAGCGTTGTTTTGTTTTACACATCCAATCAGCGCCGCGGGTCTATCTGGTGGGTAGGGCGGGTGGATGGGTGGGTGGGGGTTACGGTGTAACGCCAGCAGAGCTTTGATTGAACTCGGGCAACCACGACAACAACTCCGGGCCACTTTCGACATTAAGAAGCGATTAAACCATGTTTTTTATTTGACCATATAAGACCCACTGGGCTTCATAGCTCTTTATCAGAAGCGAATTGGCCATCACAAACGGAAAGCTCAAAAAAGGTGTGCTCATCGTGCGGAAATTTACAGCAAATACTCTAAACGCGTGGTTATGTCGATTCTAAACGTGGAGGGAAAAGCCGAAGCACCCGGAGAAAAATCCACGCGACCACGGGGAGCGAGCGAGAGAGAGAGAGACACCGCAAACTTCAAATATGCAGCAGCAGCAGGCGTCAGGGTCGGTCTGGAACTCACGACCGCACGTGTAGACCAGGCGAGGCAGTTAACATCTCATAGTCAACGTGGCGCCCTGTTATCACCAGCAGACAGAGAGTCTTTTAAGGCCACGTGAGAGGTTTTTTTTTGGGGTTAGATCTCGTAAATATATATAAATGTTGTGCCGTTAAACCCGCCACCACCCAGTCACAGCCAACTAGTGAGGTTTGTCACGTAAACAGAACTTTGCGAATTCGTCACTAGTACAGCACACCGGTTTGTTAGAAAGCCAAGCCACAAATATTTACAGTCCGAGCACGACGTTTCGCCGGTAATTACAACCGACATCACCAGGCGGACAGCCAGATGCTGTGGAGAAGTCCGCCCGTTTCGTTCCTCGTGTAGAGGCGTAGATGTGGTGGCAACTCTGGTGGGTGGGGTAGCTGGGGTAGCTGGGGTGGGTGGGGTAGCTGGGGTGGGTGGGGTAGCTGGGGTGGGTGGGTAGCTGGGGTGGTGGTGTAGCTGGGGTAGCTGGGGCGGTGGGGTAGCTGGGGGCGGTGGGGTAGCTGGAGTGGGTGGTGTAGCTGGGGTGGGTGGGGTAGATGGGGTAGCTAAGGTGGGTGGGGTAGCTGGGGTAGCTGGGGTGGGTGGGGTAGCTGGGGTAGCTGGGGTGGGAGGGGTAGCTGGGGTTGGTGGGGTAGCTGGGGTAGCTGGGGTGGGTGGGGTAGCTGGGGTGGGTGGGGTAGCTGGGGTGGGAGGGGTAATTGGGGCAGCTGGGGGTAGCTGGAGTGGGTGGGGTAGCTGGGGTTGGTGGGGTAGCTGGGGGTAGCTGGAGTGGGTGGGGTAGCTGGGGTGGGTGGGGTAGCTGGGGTGGGAGGGGTAATTGGGGTAGCTGGGGGTAGCTGGAGTGGGTGGGGTAGCTGGGGTGGGAGGGGTAGTTGGGGTGGTTGGGGTAGCTGGGGTGGGAGGGGTAGTTGGGGTGGGTGGGGTAGCTGGGGTGGGAGGGGTAGTTGAGGTGGTTGGGGTAGCTGGGGTGCGAGGGGTAGTTGGGGTGGGTGGGGTAGCTGGGGTGGGAGGGGTAGTTGGGGTGGGTGGGGTAGCTGGGGTGGGAGGGGTAGTTGGGGTGGGTGGGGTAGCTGGGGTGGGAGGGGTAGTTGGGGTGGGAGGGGTAGTTGGGGTGGGAGGGGTAGTTGGGGTGGGAGGGGTAGCTGGGGTGGGAGGGGTAGCTGGGGTGGGAGGGGTAGTTGGGGTGGGAGGGGTAGTTGGGGTGGGAGGGGTAGTTGGGGTGGGAGGGGTAGCTGGGGTGGGAGGGGTAGCTGGGGTGGGAGGGGTAGTTGGGGTGGGAGGGGTAGTTGGGGTGGGAGGGGTAGTTGGGGTGGGAGGGGTAGTTGGGGTGGGAGGGGTAGCTGGGGTGGGAGGGGTAGCTGGGGTGGGAGGGGTAGTTGGGGTGGGTGGGGTAGCTGGGGTGGGAGGGGTAGTTGGGGTGGGAGGGGTAGCTGGGGTGGGAGGGGTAGCTGGGGTGGGAGGGGTAGTTGGGGTGGGAGGGGTAGCTGGGGTGGGAGGGGTAGTTGGGGTGGGAGGGGTAGCTGGGGTGGGAGGGGTAGCTTGGGGTGGGAGGGGTAGCTGGGGTGGGAGGGGTAGCTGGGGTGGTGGGGTAGTTGGGGTGGGAGGGGTAGTTGGGGTGGTAGGGGTAGTTGGGGTGGGAGGGGTAGTTGGGGTGGGAGGGGTAGCTGGGGTGGGAGGGGTAGTTGGGGTGGGTAGGGGTAGCTGGGGTGGGAGGGGTAGCTGGGGTGGGAGGGGTAGTTGGGGTGGGAGGGGTAGCTGGGGTGGGAGGGGTAGTTGGGGTGGTGGGTAGCTGGGGGAGGGGTAGCTGGGGTGGGATGGGGTAGTTGGGGTGGCGCGGAGTCTTCCAGCAGCTCAGACATTGCTCAGATTCTTCTCGTGGCTAAGTCCAACTTCGTGACGTGGGTGAAGTGAGGGGGGCTGAGGGGAGGGGGTGTGGGGGGGGAGGCGGCTGTGATAACAAATTCCAACTAAGGTTGGAAACGTTTAGGCGCTCATTAGCTCTGCGCCTCTCTGACGGCCGTCTCCCTGTCGCTCGTGTGTGGCTCCTTGCCTGCCGTGGTCGTCGTGAATTTCACTCGCTCACTCCTCTATACTGTGTCGTCTCACCCACCACCACCACCACACTGTGTTCAACAACCACCACCACACTGTGTTCAACAACCACTGCAACCACCACCACACTGTGTTCAACAACCACTACCACCACACTGTGTTCAACAACCACCACCACACTCACCCACGCACTCTTTCACTCATTCACTCACTCTCTCGCCCACCACACACTCACCCACTCACCACACTGCCAATGTCACACCAACACACTCGCCCGTAGCGCGCTAACCGCTACACGACCGCTCCCCACGTAATGGGGATCACACTCCGCAGAAGCCACATCGACCTTTTATCGCTGCTGTGAATACTCGGCAGGACCCTCCTAAAAACGAATCTTGAAACTCAGCGACAATTGCCTGGCTAAAGACGCCTAGTAGTAGTAATAATAATAATACCACTGCTACTACTAGTCGTAGTAATACACAAAAGGAATTACACGTTCGTTACATCCCTAAACTTATCCCGAGCATCATCTTTGACGCTTCGTCAGACAGTGCGCTCATCAGTGTTGATCTTCAGTCGTTTTAGTGGTTTCCTGCGCCTCTGAATCATTTTCGCTTTCTCCCTCTCTCTCTGAGAGTGAACCAAGCCTGTGGGCGTTACACATCCGAGAGCATCGCCATGATGAGGAGCAGGAGGAGGACGTCACGGGGAGTCGTCACGCGGTGACGTCCGCGCGCTGTTACGCATCACGTCCCTCCGCTCTCACCACGAGCGCACTTGGCTCAAGCGATCACTCTCAGCTCCACCACGACTCCTCCCCCACTCCACCACGACTCCTCCCCCACTCCACCACGACTCCTCCCCCACTCCACCACGACTCCTCCCCCACTCCACCACGACTCCTCCCCCACTCCACGACTCCTCCACGACTCCTCCCCGACTCCATCATGACTCCTCCCCGACTCCACCATGACTCCTCCCTTACTCCACCATTGCTCCTCCCCTAATCCAGCATGACTCCTCCCCTACTCCACCACGACTCCTCCCCCACTCCACCACGACTCCTCCCCTACTCCACCATGACTCCTCCCCCACTGCACCACGACTCCGCCCTACTCCACCACGACTCCACCCCTACTCCACCACGACTCTTCCCCCACTCCACCACGACTCCTCCCCGACTCCTCCCCGACTCCATCATGACTCCTCCCCCACTCCATCACCACTCCACCTCCACTCCACCATGACTCCACCCCCACTCCTCGACTCCTCCCCCACTCCTCGACTCCTCCCCCACTCCTCCCTTACTCCACCATGACTCCTCCCACACTCCACCATGACTTCTCCCCTACTCCATCACGACTCCTCCCCCACTTAACGACTTCACCTCCACTCCACCACGACTCCACCCCCACTCCACCATGACTCGACTCCAGTTCTACGACTCCTCCTTCACTCCACGACTCCTCCTTCACTCCACGACTCCTCCCCTACTCTACCACGACTCCTCCCCTACTCCACCATGGCTCCTCCCCTAATCCAGCATGACTACTCCCCTACTCCATCATGAGTCCTCCCCCAATGCACCACGACTCCTCCCCCACTCCACCACGACTCCTCCCACACTCCACCATGACTCCTACCCTACTCAACCATGACTCCTACCCCATTCCACCATGGCTCCTCCCCCACTCCACCATGACTCCTCCCCCACTCTACCATGACTGCTCCCCTACTCCACCACGACTCCTCCCCCACTCCTCAACTCCACCCCCACTCCATCATGACTCCTCCCCCACTCCATCATGACTCCTCCCCCACTACCATGACTGCTCCCCGATTCCACCATGACTTCTCCCCCACTCCACGACTCCACCCCCACTCCATCATGACTCCTCCCCCACTCCACCATGACTCCTCCCTTACTCCACCATGACTCCTCCCACACTCCACCATGACTCCTCCCCTACTCAACCATGACTCCTACCCAAATCCACCATGACTCCTCCCCCACTCGACGACTCCTTCCCCACTCTACCACGACTCCTCCCCCAGTCCACCACGACTCCTCCCCAGTCCACCACGACTCCTCCCCTACTCCAGCATGACTCCTCCCCCACTACCCGACTCCACCACGACTCCTCCCCAACGACTCCTCCCCTACGACTCCACCCCCACTCCACGACTCCTCCCCTACTCCACCATGACTCCTCCCCCACTGCACCACGACTCCTCCCCTACTCCACCATGACTCCTCCCCCACTGCACCATGACTCCTCCCCTACTCCATCAAGATGTTTTTGCTGCTATAAATTTCCAAATGATAAGGGCCACTTTGATGAGCTCTCATTTGTGGCCAGGTCGCTTTTGAACAATACGTTAATGCCTCATTGGGCATTAACACATTTCTACGTGTTTGGGGGACTTATTTACCTTGATTGTACTTTGCACTACTATCGTGTGTTGTACTGTTTATGTAACGTCTTACCTGCCCTACTGAACATCTGTGAAAAATAGCTTTATAGCTCATTGGATTCCTCCTCCAGGATAATAAATATTCTGATTTTGACTCCTCCCCCAATCCACCACGACTCCTCCTCCGCTAAAAAAACGCATTCACTGTTTTCTACCACAACTCTTAAAAGTGCTGTTTGTTGCGGGCCGTTTGTGGGTCATCTGGGCCTATGGACCTGCGTTCTCAAACCTCGATGGGAGTAACAACAGCGCACCACCCTCAACTTCATCGTAACTCCGCCCCAACCCAACCCACCACTCCTCCCTCGCTCCCCCAAGCTCCCACCACCACCATCATCATCCCTCCCTCCTTCCGACCTCCATCACCACCGCTCCCTCCCTCCCACCCACCTCTACCCCGCCCCCTCAAAAACTCCTGCACCGCCCCCTACCCCCTCCGACCCCCCCCCTCCTCGCTCGCGTTCATTTCATTCCTCCGTGCCACCGACTCATTCCTGGAATTCCTTCTCCGCGCTCGTCCGCCCAAGCGCGCGCGCGCGCCGCAGTGACAGAGGTTGGGGAAGGCGCGCGCCACAACAACCACAACCACCACCACCACCACCACAACCACCACCACCATCGTCACCGTCGTTGTTGTGGGCAGCCGTCGTGGTGGTGGCCGTGAAAGCCACTCTGTGACTTGGTTTTGTTTCTCAACCCCATCCACCGTGGGCTTCGCCGATTTCCCAGCTCGAGCTGCCCCGACACGACACGCGACCTGCCCGCCGCCAGGTGAGTTGAGGCGCGCGATGATGATGAGTGGGGGGGGGGGCGCTTGGGTGGCGAACGGATGATGCGTGTGGTGGGGAAGCGAGCGAGGGTTAAAGCGTCTCTCTCTCTCTCTCCTCGCTTTCTTCTCTCTCTCTAGACTCTACAACTCGGGTAGGGGGGGCGGCAGGGGGAGGAGGAGGCGAAGCCGCGACGGCGCAGGCCTGAAAGTCGTAGGAATCGTTCGCATTTTTCGGATTGTTCACGAGCAGGGAGGTTGGGGGGGGGATTCTTCCTCGACTCCGTTCGCGACTTCCACCGGTGTCGCGCGAGAGACGGACAGAGACAGACAGAGAGAGGAGTTCGTGGGACCCGCGTGGCGGGTTACGCGCGGAGACGCGCAGACCAAGGGAGACGCGCTGCGAGACAAGAGTGAGACACACAAAGAGCTACGGGAACTGTTGGCGCAAGTGTTGACACACGCGGAGAGACACGGACACACGCAAGGTGGACTGACACACGCGGAGAGACACGGACAGACACGGACACACGCAAGGTGGACTAACACACGCGGACAGACACGGACACACGCAAGGTGGACAGACACACGCGGAGAGACACGGACACACGCAAGGTGGACAGACACGCGGACAAACACGGACACACACAAGGTGGACAGACACACGCGGACAGACACGGACACACGCAAGGTGGACTGACACACGCGGACAGACACGGACACACGCAAGGTTGACTGACGCGGAAAGACACGAACACACACAAGGTGGACACACGCGGACAGACACGGACACACGCGGAGAGACACGGAAACACACAAGGTGGACTGACACGCGAAGAGACACGGACACACACAAGGTGGACACACGCGGACAGACACGGACACACGCGGACAGACACGGACACACGCAAGGTTGACTGACACACGCGGACAGACACGGACACACGCAAGGTGGAAGAGACGCGTGGATCTCGATGGACGCTTGAGACGTAGACACAGGCGGAGAGAGACAGGCGGAGAGACACAGGCTCGGGAGACAGACGATGTGTTACAAGACTGTCGAGGCGAGTGCTGTTTATGCGTTCGCTCGACACACGCGTGCACTTTTATACAAACAAAGCGACGCAGATGTACGTACACACAGACTTGAGATAAGACTCGAGATAAGACTCGAGATAAGACTCGAGATAAGACAAGACGTACAGACGGTCGAGGCGCGTGTAAGTCACAGAGACAGACGCGTAAAGTTTAACAGATAGATACGCAGAGAGACACACACACAGGCATAACAAGGGAGAGATAGGCAGATACGTACTGAGAGACGGGGGAAACCATTCAAAGCCAGTGGAGGTAGCGAGCATCACACATCGACAACGACGATCCGTCCATGTAGCCTTTACAGACTGTTAGCACTGAGCACCTATCAAGGCCGGCACGGTTCACACTGGGAACTTGAGACAGGCACGGAGACACGAAACGACAGAGCCTGATGGGACTGTGGATTGACGAGCGCCTGACACGCAGACGAACTCGCAGCTACAACACACGGACGCACGAGCGAAGACACCAAGACAAAAAAAAAACACGCACAGAGACACACACGCACAGAGACACACGCGCACAGACAGAGAGACACGCGCAGAGAGAGAGAGAGACACGCGCGGAGAGAGAGACACGCGGGGAGAGAGAGACACGCGGGGAGAGAGAGACACGCGGGGAGAGAGAGACACGCGGGGAGAGAGAGACACGCGGGGAGAGAGAGACACGCGGGGAGAGAGACACGCGGAGAGAGTCACGCGGGGAGAGACACGCGGGGAGAGACACGCGGAGAGAGAGACACGCGGAGAGACAGAGACACGCGGAGAGAGAGAGACACGCGGAGAGACAGAGACACGCACAGACAGAGACACGCGGAGAGACAGAGACACGCGGAGAGAGAGAGGGACACGCGGGGAGAGAGAGACACGCGGAGAGAGAGACACGCGGAGAGACAGACAGAGACACGCGGGGAGAGAGAGAGACACGCAGAGAGAGAGAGAGAGACACGCGGGGAGAGAGAGGCACACGGGGAGAGAGAGACACGCGGAGAGACAGACAGAGACACGCGGGGAGAGAGAGAGGCACGCGGGGAGAGAGAGAGACACGCAGAGAGAGAGAGAGACGCGGGGAGAGAGAGACACGCGGAGAGAGAGAGACACGCGGAGAGAGAGAGACACGCGGAGAGACAGAGACACGCACAGACAGAGACACGCGGAGAGACAGAGACACGCGGAGAGAGAGAGGGACACGCGGGGAGAGAGAGACACGCGGAGAGAGAGGACACGCGGAGAGACAGACAGAGACACGCGGGGAGAGAGAGAGACACGCAGAGAGAGAGAGAGAGACACGCGGGGAGAGAGAGGCACACGGGAGAGAGAGACACTGCGGAGAGACAGACAGAGACACGCGGGGAGAGAGAGAGGCACGCTGGAGAGAGAGAGCCACGCAGAGAGAGAGAGAGACGCGGGAGAGAAGACGAGACACGCGGAGAGACAGACAGAGACACGCGGGGAGAGAGAGACACGCGGAGAGAGACACGCGGAGGGAGAGAAAGCACGTGGTGATTCTGCTCGTTTACCCACGCAAGCCTCGCTGAGTCTCACCACTCTTCGGCAGGAGGGTCCTGCCAGGTTGTATCAGTGTGGGGGTGATGATTGGTGCCGACTGAGTTATTGGCTGGTTATCAATTGGTTAGCAAATTGCGGACCGCGACGCCGCTAACTACTCTCGCCAATTATGCCACGGGATCTTTAACGTCGACTGGGATTTTTGTTGTTGGACGCGTCGCGTTTCATCTGAATATACAAAAACCTGCAGTATTATTAATCGGGGCGGCCCGCTGGAGTCGAATCGTGAACGTTTTTTTACGGCAAGCGGCACAGACTGCTTCCTATACATAGACAACGAGCACCTATGAAGGCCACGGCACGGCACACGAGGGGGTCGGTGGCCAATACCACCCCAGACCGCCTTGGTCTCCTCAATGCTGACGTTTAACACACCGCACCGAGCGAAGGCCCAGGACCGGTTCAGATAATCGGCACTGGAGTTTGCCGTGAAGGGGAGTCGAACTCGTAACGCAGCGCACTAACCGCTACACACGACACATACAATACACACACAGTCACACACACAGTGTCACACACACACAGTGTCACACACACACAGTGTCACACACATACAGAGTCACACACACAGAGAGTCACATCACACACACAGAGAGTCACATCACACACACAGAGAGTCACATCACACACAGAGTCACACACACAGAGTCACACACACACAGTCACACACACACGGAGTCACACACACACAGTCACACACACAGAGTCACACACACAGAGTCACACACGCACAGTCGCACGCACAGAGAGTCACACGCACAGAGAGTCACATCACACACACAGAGAGTCACACACACACAGAGAGTCACACACACACAGAGTCACACACACAGTCACACACACACAGTCACACACACACAGTCACATCACAAACAGAGCCACACACACAGTCGCACACACACACAGACACACACGCACAGAGTCACACACGCACAGAGTCACACACACACAGAGAGTCACATCACACACACAGTCGCACACACACACACAGTCACACACACACACGCACAGAGTCAAACACACACACAGAGCCACACACAAAAATACACCGACACAGACGCTCGGAGAGAGGGGAACAAAGCGAGGTGGGTGGGAGGGAGGTGAGGGAGAGTTGTGGTACTGAGTTGAAGGCGAGTTGTGATGTTGCGCGCAACCATTGCGCGCGTCGACTTGCACAACGTCTTGGCGGGGCGACAAGTCGCGTGTGTGTACACATAGTTGCATGTACATGCGAGATGTGTGTACGTGTGCGCGCGCGCATGTGTGCAATAAGCACACGTGTGTACATGTACGTGTGCGCTTACACGTGCGCGTGTGCACGCATGCGTGCATGTATGCAATTGTGTGTGTGCGAACACTGTATCGAGGTGTCTGTGCGCATTCTCCCGTGGGGGAGTGGTGGTGCAGCGATTAGCGCTACGCTGCGCTACGGACCCGGCTACCCGAGTTCGATTCCCGCCCACGGCCAACACCGGCGACGATCATCTGAACCGGTCCTTGGCCTCCGCTCAGTGCGGTGTTAAACATCAGCACTGAAAAGACAAAGGCGGTCGGGGGTGGTGTTGGCCACCCACCCCCACGTGTGCCATGCCGGCCTTCATAGGCGCTCGCTTACAGCACTTGCCCCAACAGTCTGTTATAGGCTATAGCGTACTGGGGATCTTTGTATGTATGTATATATGTGTACACGTGTGTGCGTGGGAGTGCATTTTCGTGTGACCTCGTCTCCAACCTGTGGCGTTTGATTCGTGAACTTAAAGTAAGTTAACGCTTTGGAAAAGCAGCTCAGGAATATCGTCGTCGTCGTCGTCGTCACCATCACCATCATCTTCTGTTGGCAGCCTCCTCAAAGACCGACACGTACCTAGGTCGATTACAATCACCAACTCCACCACCACCATCGTTACCAACACCAATCAACCATCTTCACCACCATCATCATTACCACCACCACCACCCTCATCATTACCAACACCACACCAATCATCTTCACCACCATCATCATTACCAACACCACCATCATCATTACCAACACCACACCAATCATCTTCACCACCACCATCATTACCAACACAACACCAATCATCTTTACCACCACCACCATCATCATTACCAACATCAGACCAACCATCTTCACCACCGCCATCATCACCGTCATCGTGATCATTACCATCAACACCTCATCTACCATCAACACCGAGAGCCATACCAATCACGACCAATTCCATCATCACCAAGTTTCACAATAATCACCATCAACATCTTCATCGTCGCGAAAGTCGCGCAGCGCGAGAGGAACACTCCGTTCGGAACGCGGCGAATTGCTCGCCCCGTCTAATAATAATAATTCTATTCAGTTCCCCGCGTCCACATCCATTCCTCACGCGGGGAGCGGTGTCAGGCATCGCCATCCCAAACTCCACGCTGCGTCGCATTACAATCCCCGTCATTACAGAGGCAAGCTCCCCCCTCGTCTGCCAAACGCGCCGCTTGCATGCACGCGCGTAGCCTCCCTCCCTTGCTGGTCGTGCGCAGTTTTGGTTTGTTGTTGTAGTTTCTGACCATACTTCACCACGCTGGGTCGGTGCGGGTCGAGGTGTGTTTGTTTGACTCGCGGTAACCGTGGACGGTCTCGTTTGGAAGAGGTGGCCTGGGATGGTGGAGGGGTGGGGGGAAGAGGCCAGGACCGGTTCAGAGCGGTCCGCCCGCTCACGTTCGTTGGTGCCGCGCGCTAACCACAGCGCCACCGCTCCGCTCTTAATAATATACATGTAACCAACATGCTATTTAGTCTCAGCACTCGTTTTTGAGAGGGTCGGTCCTGCTAGAGTGGGATGTTTGGCCTGGTCACATCTCAGAAACGAGAGTTTTGGTTTACCGTGGGCTGTGGGGGGGGGGTCGGAGTATCCGGAGAGATTCTCTGGGCCCAGACCTCTCGAAACTCCCCACAGATGTATGCAATAACCCACCGCTCCCCTGGCCACTAGATATAGCTGCTCTTAGGTAACGCGTGCAGCTGCATTGGTCGATGTGGTTGCAATAACGCGGTTGCAATGACGCGGTTGTCATGTGGTTATGACGCGGTTGTCATGTGGTTATGACGCGGTTGTCATGTGGTTATGACGCGGTTGTCATGTGGTTATGACGCGGTTGTGATGTGGTTATGACGCGGTTGTCATGTGGTTATAACGCGGAGCAATTGAGACACCGCCATCGTTGTGAGCGTCGCTATCATAAATGCGTTCATGAACATAACGTCCACCGCGCGCTGTTCGGCGTCATGTCCGACGTTTCGCCGCACGTTCTGGGGATATAATCAGCATGCTGTTAATGCCGAGAGGCACGCAGCACAACCGCGAGATCCTCTACGCAGTGCAACCACTCTCCATGCCTGCGTGACCATCCACGGCAGCGCTCTTCATTGCAAGGCCCGCGGCCCACTGACGGCCCCTGGTGGCCTTCAGTGATGCCCCCCGACACTACACAAAGAGTGACAACACCCCCGCCATCATCATCATCATCGTGCTGCTGCCAAACTCCCCCAGTGGTTTCAAATGTGTGGCGGGAGCACCTCGCACTGACGACGTCTTCTAGGTGAAAGTGTCCCCCCCCCGCCCTGCCCGCCCGCCTCCTCTGAAACTCTACTCCACGGCGTCTGGATATTCCCGAGTGCAAGACTCTCGTGTCGTGGTGACCACTGCCGACCGTGGCCCTCTCGCTGTTGAATGAAGGACGCGTTAACGGCAGCCGGCGGCGTGGACAACGCCGGCGAACTACGCCGGCTCGCGCGAGGTGGCCGATTGATGTGCGGGGGGACCGGCCTTGGTTGCGTCTGCCTCTTCGACCAACCGGCATGGTGAAGTATGGCCAAACAACCCTTCACGATCGACACTTAGTTGGGGGGAGGGAGGGAATTGTGGTCGGGGGGGGGCGGGGGGGGATTACATCCAGCGGTTGGAGTGACAAAGGAAGGGGACGAACGCGGTGTCCGCTGAGACTCGAGCTGAGATTGCGCTGGGAGACGGGGAGGGGAGCGCGAGGATTGCGGGAACGCGCGTTCATCGGAGACGTCGCCACGTTGACTTTAAAGGAGGCTATACCGGAGATCTTTGTCTTTGTAATAAGTGTGTGTCTGTGTGTGTATATATGAACATGTGTATATGTTTGCGTATGATGGTACGGGCCATAACCACCCTTTCGTGTGCCGTTCCGGCCTTAATAGGTGCTCGTTAACAGCACTTGCCCAAAAATTATGTTGAGGCTATAGGGGGGACATTTGTCTTTTACATGTGTATAGGTTAATTAGGAATAACACACAAGTCAATAACACCATGGCTTTAAATATAAAACAATGTCTGCAATAAGCGACGTTTCATGCAATGTCCCTTCTGCACAGCACACGGAGACACCACTTTCAGGCCACAGTGTTATTGATAAATGTGTTGAGGTTTATTTTTTTGTTCAATACATAATTAGTAATTGCACGTGTGCCACGCTGCAAACGCAGCGGGGGGAGTATCACCAAATAATTTGGTGCGGTGGGATTTGGGCAGGACACAGCACGGCGAGCAGAGATGATGGTGACTATGATGATGTCAATGATGTTGTTTATGGTCAATGGACGAGACTGGTTGATGGAATGGCAGCCAAACAACAGCCCCCCCCCACCGCCAGCCGAGCCCAATAGCG